TTCTCCTTAACTCTCTGGGGCCTGGGAACGTGGAAGTCACAGTGGCCCCTTTGTGTGAAGAAGGCAAGCCTCTCTATTCTGCCTCCTCCAACTCATCACAGGCCTCCGGGAGTTCACAGCCCCAAGCCCTGAGGAGCTTCTCCCCAAAGAAGATTAAGAACCTGCTACTCCCCCCCGCCCAAAAAAAGATGAAAGAACAACACAAGCTTTGGAGTTGAGAAGATCCCAGTTTAGGTCTTCCCTCTGATATTTACTAGTTGTGACCCTGAGTCAATCACTGTATCTTTGTGCCTCAGTTTCCCCTTCTGTAAAATGGGGATGAGGGGATAGTACCAGCTGCCTTCCAGGGCTGTTGGAGGGCTCCAACAAGAAGCACTCGGAAACCTTAAAGCACTACACAAATATCACTTCTCATGACTGTAAAGTTAAGTGCAATGCAGACCCCACCTCCATCCTTTGCAGACAGGTGGGGGCTATGACGTTGGAACACTGCTGGAACTAAGGGCCGTTACTTAGTTGTACTAAACTGCTTTCATTTCATTTCCTTTTTATAGAGGACAGAGATGGGCCTGTTTGGAGAGGAAGGTGATTTTAAATGATAACAATCAATAGAAGCTGTTTTTAAGCAATATGCAGCGGTAAGGGTAAGGAGTGATAATGTGGGGATTGCCTGTTTTGGGGAAGTCAGTGGTGGACAGATAATATCAGATATTATAAAATGGCTCCATGTGATGACTCTGGTCAACGATGACCCTTCCCTCCTCTGAAAGACAAAGGGATTTAGAAGAGGCGTCGTGTCTGAGCAGAAGCACATAGGAGGAAAATCCAGGAGACGAGCTCTAATCCTGCTTCTGACATTAGCTAGAGATGTGTATATGCGTATGTGTACGTGTGCATATGTGTATATATGCATATGGTTACATATGTGTTGTGTATGTGTGCATATATTCGTGTATCTATATATAACATGGCTAGATTGTTACATGCATGTTACATATGTAATATATTACATATTATTGTTTATGTTACAGGCAGCTAGATGGCACAGTGGAAGACCTGAGTTCAAATCCAGCCTCAGACACTTACTAGCTGTTGCTAGGCAAGTTGCTTACCCCTGTTTGCCTCAGTTTCCTCATCTGTAAGATGAGCTGCAGAAAGAAATGGCAAATCATTCCAGCATCTTTGCCAAGAAAACCTCAAATGGGGTCATGAAAACGTGACTGAAATAGTTGAACAACAACAAAAATGTGTTACATATTATGTATGTATGTATGTATGTCAATATAGGTAGCCATTTCCACCTCTAGTTTCTCCCTCCTGAGCTCCAGTCCCACAATGGATAAGTTCCCCCACCTCCCATTCATTATGTTAGTACCCCCAGCACCCAGCACAACGACTGGCAAGAAGTAGATGCTTAATAAATACTGATTGATTGATGAATCACCAACTGCCTGCTGGACATATCAAACTGGACATCCCATGTATAGGCATCTCAAACCTATATCCAAAACAGAACTCATTATTCCCCCTCCAAAAAATCCACCCTTGCTCTTAGCTTCCCTATTCCTGTCAAGGGCACTGAGCATTCTGCCAGCTCGTCAGAGCCACAGCTTCAATGTTAATTCTTAACTCCTCACTCTCACGATCCAGATCCAATCAGTCGGCAGATCTAGGCATTTCTACGTCCACAACATCTCTCCTGTACATGCGCTTCTCTCTTCCCCGACAGCCACCTGCTTAGCAGCTTAGAGGTCCTGGTCACTTCACTTCTTGCCTATTGACTATTGCAATAGCTTGCTAACAGCTCTCCCTGCCTTCCTTCAATTCATCCTCCACGAAGAGATTTCCCTAAAGCGCAGGGGTGACCACATTGCCTCCCTATTCAATGAACTTCATTGGCTCCCCGTTATCTGTAGGATCCAATACATCACCTGTGTTTGTCATTTAAAGCTCTTTATGATCTGGCCCTTTCCACGTCTTCTCACACATTATTCCCTTTCATGCACTCTATGCTCCAACCATACTGGCCTGTGACCCTCATACATTACATCCCATCTCCCACCTGCCTTTGCACTGGCTGTCGTATGCACTTGAAATGCTCTCGCTTCTCACCTGGGTCTCAGAATCTCGGACTTCTTTAAGATTTAGCTCAAGAAGCAGCTTCTGAAGGAGGCCTTCTCCCCTCCCAATCCTGTTCAGTCCCCCTGCTCCCCATCCCAGTGCCCTCCCCCTTAAGGTTACCTTGTATCTATTTTGTATGAATCACATACATGTGCCTACGTATCTATGGATGCATGTTACTCATACAAAGTAGATGTACATACGTGTGTGTATAATATCTGTATGCATGTATGTGTATGTGAATAGATAGATACACGCATACATACCTTGCCCCCCTCCCACTAGAATGTCAGCTCTTAGGGCAGGAATTGGTTTTGCTTTTTCTTTGAATCCCTAATGATTTGCACACTACTTGGCACACAGCAAGTGCTTAATAAATGCTTGTTGATTGATAGCTGATTGACTCTGCACCTCTCTAGGACTGTCTCTCCAACCATAAAATAGGAGCCATGGTACATGCACTACCCACCTGCAGGCCTGGTGGGGACAGTCATCTACTTGTTTAACAGGTAAATGAAAAGGATCATTGCTTCTTCCAACCTCTGAGAGCAGATGATGACCCAACTGTTAGCTTTTGAAAAGTGTTAGGATCTTTCAGGAAAGGGACTGACTATAGAATCCTTTTCCAGTATCCTCATGGCTTCTTCAAGCAAGCCGGAGCCCACAGCAGACATTCTACAACAAACACTTGGTGAGCTTAAGCAGAGATTTCAGGTTGTATGTCCCACCTTAGCCCCTGTAGAAGGAAAGCAGCATTGTGCTTTTGATTGGACGGGGAGGGGGAATGGAGAGATGGGATGTGATCCTCATGCTCGGGTGCCAGGGGACAATCACCTTCACAAATCTGATGTGTAGAGGCTATGTAAGGATGACAAACTGATGACCAACTGTAAGACTCTGAACAAATGTGACTTCACAAGTCTGATAGCCAGGCCCCAGACTCCCAACAACTATGGAGCTGAGCCAACAATGCATTTGAAACATTGCATATTGAGTCTTTCTCCAGCCCCCCAGAGCTGCCAGATGTCATGAAGCCTGTAGAAGTGACACCAATGAGCAAGCTGTGCAGTAAGGGGCCAAGCTCCACCCCCCATAGTCACCTTCTAACACAACAAAAAATGTTGGTGTCAGGCTGTTAGGAAAGAAAAGAAAGAAAGGGAGATATAGAAAGAGAGGAAGGAAGGAAGGAAGGAAGGAAGGAAGGAAGGAAGGAAGGAAGGAAGGAAGGAAGGAGGAAGGAAGGAAGGAGGAA